TTTTTTACAAAATATCTAAATTCATTTGATTACGTGGAATCAAATTCATATATCTTATGTAATAAGAAACAGCCTCTTTATGTAAAAGTTGGAGGTGCAGCTGAATCATAGTGTAGAAAATACTAAAGTGCTCAAACAGGAGTCAGGTTAATATGAGTAAAAAACAGCAAATGATTCTTGATAGCAAATAAAGTATGTTCAAGCTAAAACCTGTAATGTACAAACAATGTTGAATCCAAATTTTGTAAATGGTAAATGTCCTTTACCATGGCCTCTGTGTTCTGCCATAAGCTAATGATTTACTGTTGTAAATGTGGAGGGGGGCGTCTTCTGTCATTAATGGAATGTACTCCATAGTGTAGTTCTAACAAAAAAGCTCTACAACCAACCAAAGTAAACAGCTACTGTAGGGCTTATCCATTTAAAAATGTTAGCTTGTTATCATAATTTGTACAGTACTGTATATCTAATCATGCCAAATTTAGTCCAAAGTTGGGAAAGTGGCTGCATTTATACTGGGTTGAACTCTGTTCTCATGGGAGTACATGGAAAGACATAGGGATGAACAAGGAATTTATTTTAGCTGGGAAACTGCACCATGTGACAGATGGTAGTGAGTGACATTATTTAAATCAAAGGCGAAAAAAGGCGTCTTTGTAATATTTTAATATTGTCTCTTAAGACAATGGAATAGGAGTACTATACATTTTTAGTATTAATCAGTGATTTGTTTGATTAGAGAATGTCTCAAAAATGTCATTAAAAGCTTCTAATACATGTTTGCCAAAACAAAACGATTCAGGATGATTTTAATCATTTTAATTGGTTTAATTTGGTAAGTGTCCTTCTGTTCTTGTTAGTTTGCAGTTTTGCTGATGTTACCTCTTTTATCCACAAAATTTAAATTATCCTATCAATGATCACAGCTAAAGTCAATTGATAATGTTTATATTTTCTGAACAAAATGTGAGTGGTGCTTGCCGTTGCTAATATTTCCAGCAATATGCCAGCGTGTCGCTAAGGTAATTTGAATGTGTTTAATGTCACTACATTAGCACTTTGCTAGGTATTGAGATGAATGAAATGACTGAAATGTGATGTCAGACAAAAGACAATTTAACTCTCCTAAATCACAGAAGTCAGTTTGGTTTAGTATATAGACTAGGCCACATCAATGGGTTTTTGTTTTTGTGAGAGTTGCTGTGGCCTGTGCCAAAGATGCCAGCATTAGAGAGGGGAAGGACTTTCAGCGTGTAGATAAGCAGGTAGGAGTGCTGCTGTCTGCTCTGATGCTGAAGTTCTGGAGATGTCCCCAGAGCTCCATGAAGCAGAGCAGGAGAGGAGCGGCTGTGCCTGAGGCCGGGTGAATGAGTAGGCTGGAATGTTTGCTGTCATGTTTTACTTCCAGGTCACCTGGCTCAATGCAGAAAAGCGGGAAGGATTGGAATAATTTACTGTTATCCCTTATGTATTACTGCTTCTCTTGCTTTTGATATTCAGTGGAATGTCAGTCTCCTGCCTTTTATCTGCCTGGAATCAAGTGAAAAATTAATGTGTGGTAAGAAACAACTTTATGTAAAAGCTGGGCAGCTGGGTTCGAATTAAAATGTAGAAAATACTAATATACCCTTTTATCATGGCCTCTGTGTTCTGCCATAAACTAATGAATTACTGTTGTAAAATAGAGCGGGCGTTTCATGTCCGGTCCATGGAGGCCCAACCTCGCAACTTACAGGACTTGAAGAATCTGCTGCTAATATCTTGGTGCCAGATACCACAGCACACCTTCAGGGGTCTAGTGGAGTCCATGTCTCGACGTGTCAGGGCTGTTTTGGCAGCCAAAGGTGGACCAACACAATATTAGGAAGATGGTCATAATGTTATGCCTGATTGGTGTATATAATGTAATAAGTATGTATCTAAATGCACATTGCAATTACATCTGTTTATATGATACAACTGATACATGCCCTGCAAAAATGTAGGGGAATTGACTCGCACTGCTATGTACAAGCAATAGTAAATGCGTTTATGCAAAAGTATGCACTGTATTTTCATTTCAAAATGATTTTCTCCATGTGATTCCTGGGGGAGAACGTTATTATGTAATGAATCCGCAGTCAGGCTTCAAGAGATGTTTGATTCCATAGTACAGCTTCCAATTCTTGTCACACTGACAAAGACAGAGCATCAAAAGCTTCTATTTCAAAGCAATGTTTTCCACATCCTTATTCCAAATCCTTATAACTTTCTTAACACATAAAGTATTATTTTTCCCACACTGATCACATTTACATTAAGAAAATTACAATAGGTTGGGTTCAAACTCTTTTTTAACCAAAAAACACTAACAAAAACACTTTGATGGATGAAAGAAAGAGGGGTGTCACAGTAATTGCCACAGATGGAAATACCATAATCATAAAGCACATTAAGGCATTTTGCAGAACATGACAGACACACATAGAGTATATCTGACTAGGCCTATGCTCTACTGTGATGGACTGTGCCAATGGCCTGAGATGCTAGGAGAGGCTCCATCATCCCCCGACCCCACATATGACAAGCAGTTTGGGGTATGGATAGATGCTCTTTTTTGTTGATTATGAGATGATGTATTAGCATTTATCTCCATAATGACTAGGTCTAATTATGGAACGTTTTTTTTTTGGCCCTGTCTGATCCATTGAACTGGACTTATTTTTCTTTTTTTCCCTTTTTTTTTTTTAAATCACTGGGCGCTATAGTAGCCTTAAGGGAAGGTCTATTCATACATTAAGCAACTCATGAAGAAGGAAATCTTCCCCAAGTGTGTTATGTAACTGTGTGATAATGTCAATGAAAAAAGAAAGACAACATGATGGCCACTGTTCGCTGTTCTCACATGAGACATGAATTAGCCTGTAGTTATTTTTAATATATATGATTAAAATAACTTATTAATCAGTTATTTTACGACATTCGCATTTTCAGGGGCAGATTTATTTATTTATTTATTTATTTTCCGTATAAAGGCCATTATTAATGATTATACCAGACAATTCTTCTTGCACAATAAAATATTTTTTTCCAAAATGAATGTATATTTATTTATTTGTTATAGTCATTATTTGGCCTTTAGAGTCCCTGGTATGTGTTGATTTTATTTATATTTATTTTTCAAACACACTAAAAACATGCAGTGAAAAACACCATTCCACAAAAAAAAAAGGATTACATTAAAAAAACGTTAACTCTTAGGATCTGTATTATCTTTTAGTAAGATTAAGACCATTGTACCACTTGCCCTGAAACTATTCAAATGAAACCAAACATGACTGTAAATCTTATTTGCATTCATTTAGAACATTATATTCTTGACC